ACCATCTTCATCAATTGTCTTTGTCAGCCGAGGTATCTGCTGCTGCTCTTTTGAAACAAGCTGATTTACTTACACCACATATGTTCATTATTTGTCACTAGTCCAGGCCTGTTCTTAAAATAATTGTATAGGCCATTTTCTTGACCTGAGTTATTGCTCGGTACAGTTTTCTTGAACAACAAAAGTGACCTGGAGGAATTGAGTAAATGAAGACTTTGTGAGGACATGCCAGGCTGAGGGCTCAGTCATAAATATGTGAATGTGAAGCGTATAACGTAGGTCAAAGTTCACCAAAGCTGAAGTCCATGCAAAGCTGTGCTGCAATTTGCTTTGCCTCTGGAAGTAAATGTTTTATTTTCCCACTCATTCGCAACATTTGGAAGTAAAGGAGAGGCGAAGGGTCGGGCCATGGTACATTTACATATGTGTGACTGTGAGACCTGAAGCTCCGCCCCTAACCCAAACCTTCCACGTCCCTGTCCACATTGCACCAAATTTACTTCTTCCTAAGGACCCCATGCAGGAATTTCGTGCATTTCTCTCTGTACAGAGATCTGCGTATATTCAAAATTCATACAGCACAGCTTGTCAGTTTTGAAGTAAGTAATTCAAAAGAATACGTTGCACAAGTATAAGAGCCCTAACAGCAGTTAAACACACTGTGGTCATGCACTTGCCACTTACATGACTTGATCAAACTCCGATCCTGTGATCTGATGCATATACATCAAAGACACGAAGAGGACCTCAGCACACACCGGGAGCTCCATCAATCCCCTCCGGCCCACCAAAGCTGCCTTTTCCTACACAGTCGGCCATCAAGGGTGACATCCTTGAGGAGGCGAATCAAACAGCGTCTAATGAATTTTTAACGACGAGCGTTGTGAGTGGCAAAGAGTTGGAGAGTGGGAAACAAGAGACAGCGACAGACCCCTGCTGAATGCATTACAGTGATTTGTGGGCTCACCTTCGAGCAGGAGTGAGCGGCCTCCCGCTTCAGATCATCAGGGTGTTATGTGCGCGCGGCGGGGGAGCCTCTCGGCGCCGCATCACGGGCCAAATGATGTTTGAAATGTTTTAATCAAATCCTGTCTGTTCATTAGACTAACAATAGGCTTCATGGGGCGAGCTCACAGCAGTTCAGCTTCTTACTGCCCCCAGGGGAAGCCTCCTGATAGAGTAAGTTCCCTAACCTTCCAACGTCAACTATTAACATGATGCCCTTCTATACATTTAAATGGGCCTTTATCAGTGGTGGCAGCTTATCATGCAGCGTGATTTATACAAAGAAAATCTGTCTCGCCTTCCATTCTCAATCTTTTTTACCGAGTGGCACTTACATCTATGTGAAATTATGTGTCATCTGAAATATATATGTTCAATTGATCGTAGATGACAGACAGTTTGTTACTAATGGCAGCAGATGGGAAAATCTCTGGTTTTCTGTCACAGAGGAAAAGCCTTTGTTGGCTGTGACACTTAGAGATACTGTTTGTGGGATTGTGTGGGATTAAGCCAGAATATCAATTCAAATTTAAACCTCAAAGCCTTTTTGACTTTCATCCAGTGTCGCAGCTCAAATCCAATGTGCTTCAAGGAGGTTTGAATAACAATGTTGCAAGTAGATTTAAAGCTGCAACATGTAGCTTTTTTTGTGTAACCAAAATGTTGTGGGTTAAATTAATGTTGTTGCATTGAATGGGCTTCAAATAATAAGGTGGAGGGTGAATAGACTAAACACTTTTACTCATTGCCTGACAGATTCCTTCACAAAAGTTTCTCCAAGGTAACTTATACTAAATGAAAACATGGTGGCATTAATCAACAATATAAACTACAATGTAGAAAATAAATTCCTGACACAGATTTATGCATTAGCATTGTCCCTTTAAAAATGACCCTCCAAGTATTATTTGTAATGTAAATGTACCATTTAGCAAGACATGATGGAACACCTATTCTGTGAATGTAGTTACAGTCAACTGCTCAGGACAAATGAGGAAACATTACTGCAAAAATGAAATAGTGCTGGATCCCTTCATCTTCACTGTGTCATGTTTTTTCTTTGCAGGACTTAAAATGTGCCTAATTACTTTGCAATAATTTCCAAACTCCAGAAGATTTACATTTATCTAAAAAAAAAAAAACATGTTCTCAACTTAATATAATGGCAATAAAATCAAAGTGTTAGGGTATAAAAATAAATTAGTTTAACAATAACGTTTTTATTCATAACACACTGCATTTTTCAAGGGATGACTATCATGAAAATGTGGTTTTATCCAGGATGCTTTGGATAGCACAGCGTGTTTTACTCCTCCTCTCAGGAGCACAAAACACAAGTCTTTAATCTGAAGTATGAAATGTCCCCGCAGCGCTAGACCACTAAATCTACTTTATTGTGTTATTTCAACCTGTCAGCCCTATCGATCAGTGGATTAAGACAAAGATGATGTTTTAAAGCTTTGACTGAGGGTTTCATAGCTGTCCTGGAATCCAATACCAATAGGGGTTCATAGATCCTGGCCAGGATTTAGTACCGTGGGCAGGATTGATGACACACAGCCCAGACATAATAGTGCGGGTGCATGAGCCCCATCCTTTAACATAACTCAAGATAACAGTCTGCTTTTTATTTGGTTATTAGTGTCATTCAGTCGTCCGGTTATTTAAAAACATCCAGCAGGGCCCAGCACAGGGTGTCTCTGTCAGGAATTACCCTGTAAAAGTTGACTTAACCTAAAAAAAAAAAATCAAAAGGAAAACAATACCCTCAAAATTTCCAAGTAAAGTACATCATTAATTCTAATTAACTAATTAAGCTATTAAAGCTTATATGCAGTAAGCTTGAGGCTCCAAATCTCAGTACTATGAGTTCAGTGTAAAATATTAATTATGTGGGCTGCTCAAGCCAGATCGACCTTTACTTTTATAACACATCCTTCCCCTAAATTTCGTGGCTGTCAACTAAATTTCATCTAGTGGCGTTCCTATCTTACCAGGAAGTTGTCTTATCTAGTTTTAACACAGTGAACTCAGCAAAGTAAGTGGACATTAGTAGAGGTCATTTTTTCTTTGATGCAATTTGATCAATTACATTTTACAGTGTACGTTGTGGTCGGCTCATCTCGTACTGAGAATGGATTTGTCCTAAAACTCCCAATACTTTGGTGGCATTACTGATCACTGCACAACTGCAACCGCGACTGTATGAGCTCTATTACTCAAAGCATGTGACATAATCAAATTTGGATTGTTTTATAGGCTCTAGACAACATTTGTCAGTGGCACCAGGTCAGGATTTATCACCACTTTATACTCAGCAAAGCCAGCTACAGCTTTTCAATACACACAATATTACATTTCAGGACGAGTGCAGCTTCATGCGTTGGGTCTTTCTGTACTGTTCTAACTGTAATTATTTGTCAATGTAACATATACTGATGTAGATTAGAAATGCAACATTCACTACTGGAGAAAGGCAGCACACAAACTACTGCAGGGCCTCGTCCAGTAAATACATACAACACAAAGGAATGCTGGGAGACGAAAATAGAAAAATAAATAATAGGCCTGATGAGTTGTCTGTTTAAAAAGCAATGACATTTTGAATGCTACACTCTAATGTGGATGACCATAAAAACGCATGGGTCAGGCTCCACGCAGGTTACACAGCCAGAATGACCCTCTGATAGTTGAACTGTGCAGCACTTTGGATGGATAATAGAGCAGAAACAGGCAGTGAGCATTTATTTGAACCAAAAGCAGCACTGCTGACTACACACACTGTTAGTGTTGATATTATCGAAACGGTCTGTGGCGGGACTTTAGCCACTATTATACAAAAATTTCAATTTCAGTTATTAGCCAAATATGGATATTTATTACACATCAGCCACCACACTGAAGAGCCTGACTCAGCCATAGCCAAGGTGACCACTGAGCTGTGGTTGACACATAAATCACGACCATGGGTTAAAAAGCAATACAGGTGTAGCCCGGGTTAATTCCCCAGAGCTATGAATGTCTATGATAACAATAAATTAGAAAGTAATGCAGTAGCAACACTATAGGGTATGTCACTCTAAGATGTGTGACCTCTATAATTTGATTCAAAGGTACATCTCCTAACGTGGGGTGACACACTTTCTTGCTTAGTTTAGGTGTTGAAGGGAAAGTTCACCTAAAAATGAGAATGCACTGATTATCCACTCACTACTATGCCAATGGAGGGGTGGGTGAAGTGTTTTAGTCCACAACACACTTTAGGAATCTCAGGGGAAACTGTGTTGCAGCCAAGGTGACCCCTTCTTCAGACATAATAAAACTGAAAAAAACACAACAGGCCTCCATACTGCTCGTGTGGTGTCATCCAAGTGACCGCAAGCCCAGACATTCATATTCGACTCTAATGTTTTAAGCCTCAGTCACCATATCCTACATGTATGCTCTTTTATGTAAAAAAAATAAAAAAATGTTTGTACTTATTGCACGTCTGTACTTATTGCATATGTCTGTACTGCTGGAACAAAATAATTTCCCCTTGGGGATGAATAAAGTATGTCTGTCTATCTATCTATCTATCTATCTATCTAAATATAAAGGGCCTTTTCTGGGGTAAAGAAAACTACAATTCATACAATTTAGATGACACAAACTTATGAAAACATCATGAGGATTATTCTACATTAAATGTCTGCTAATCTTTCTGCTAACTCTTACACACTGGACCTTTAAGATGTTTTGAGAGGAAATCCCCAAACATGTGGGGGGGGACACTGACCTGCTCACTTCAGGTGTTGACATACATCATTTGCCTCTGATTGGTCAGTAATACACTGACATCACGTTTCTAGAGTTTTGATTGGTCAAGAGGGCGGAAGTACTAGAGAGCGCAGGTCCGAGCTGTGGAGGAGACGCGGTGTGTTTCACCTCCGCTGCAGCGAGGAGCGTGTGCTCCCGCTAACGTGCTCCCGCTAACGTGCTCCCGCTAATGTGCTCCTGCTAATGTGCCCCCCCAGCTTCAAAGTAAAGCTAAGTGTGAAGAGTGAACATAAACTCCGTGTGTGGAGGTGAAAGCATGACACGTGGTCCAGTGTTTGGGTGGGAGCTCTCTCCTGCCAGCTAGTCTGCGGTGTAGACACTTGTTAGCATTTAGCTAACGCCACGCTAGCTCGGGAGGGACGTGGGAGCAGCGCGGGGTCACCAGGAGCATGGCTGCACCTCTGGCTTCAAGGGAGGTCGTCCCCCTTCTCCATGGCCGGCGGGCCTGCAGCTGCTGTCGGGCACCTGTCTTCAGAGAGAAGAGGAGGAGGAGGAGGAGGAGGAACTTTTGGCGTTGACTGTGTCATCGCCTCCGGGAGCGAGGAGTCCGTTCATACTGTAAGTGAAGTCACCTCTCTGCAGCAGGGGCTTTATTTGTGTTTTCACTTTGTCTGCGGGCCCACACAGAACAAACAGTGTCTGTGCTTCATGTTTCATTCTGACGGTGTTTTGAAACAACTGTTGTTGCTTGATGCTACTTTGCACCTGAGTGTATTTAGAATCTGTCAGGGTAAAGACTGATCTCTGATGTAAATGGCTTTCACTTGTCTAGATGTAATGGACGCCTGCTGCAGTTTAATTTAGTTTTGCCTCAGAGAGTTTATTCTTAATTTATGTTTGGATAAGAAACTGTGAGTCAGACTCACAATGCAACAGAAGGTGGTTTCATTAATTTAATTTCATCTTTGCTGTATAAATAATTAGTTTTCATATACATTTCCTCTTTGTGCAGTTAATAACTAGGATTTAAAGCTGAGTTATTTGTTCATTGGATCACAACGTTTAACACTACTATTTACTCAGTTACAAATATAAAGCAACTTGTAAACAGTACTCATCATAAACAAGTTATGGTAGTTGTTTCATAGAAAATAAGAACCCAGTACTTTGGATCTCATTGCGATCGAAGTCAAGAAAGTGCTACACAGGATATATATAACATGGTGAGATCATAAAGTCATATATTCAAGGTGTTATTGATGTAATGTTAACTCTAACATCATCTGAGGATCATTTCTGTCTTTTTTGTCAGTAAATAAGATCATGGGATCTGAATCTGTTTACAAGTGTTTGGTAGTAATACTATATATGTTTGAAAAAGTTGCATCGGGTACTTAGTGGCTTCAGAGGGAGCTGCACCATGTTTGACTAATTGCCTCGAGTGATGTCATATGAGTCAGTATCAGTTTTTGCAGAGAAGTTATAGTTATTTTATAAATATATCGTGGGGTGTGTCTTTAAAGAAGTGAGTTTACAACCTACTCTTCTCTGATAAGCTGTCTGTGGTTGTTGCTGCATTGTGGGTAATGTAGGCCCCAGATTTTGACAAGGAAGACGAACTAGTGGAATTAAAACAGCTTCTATTTCTCTCTGTAAATGAACCAGAGTGATAAAGGCTAACGTACATTTGTTTAAAGCTGCACCGAGACCCTCGATCAAATCACTACTTAACAATCCTGCTGCCAAATGATAACACACAGTTACTTTCTTAGTGACCTGATTAGGTTTTGTTCTCACCAGATCTCATTAGGGGACAACCTCTCATGAATTGCATTAGCTCGCTGATGCACAACCTCATTGAGATCACGACAACACTCTCACATTTATTTTGCTCTAGTTTTCTGTTAATCTTGGAATTCTGGTGAAGGTGAGATGTTTAGATTTAAAAACACATGGTCTGTGCATGGACACACATGCAGACCCACACTCATTTTTATGACCTAATCGAACTCAATCATGTGTTACTTCACAAAAGAAAGTAACATGAATGTGAAACTGGAAAGAGTCACTCGATGAAAGCAGACCTGCAGCAGCGACGTGAGGTCTGTACTTCAATTGAAGTGTGTAAATTTAGGCTTACACCGCTGTCAATAGTCGCCACGAGCAAGGGCAACGCATTTTAAATCACACTGTCAACCCTCACTGTTTCAAAAAGGATTAAAGTTTGTAAAGAAACGTGAAGCAGTAATGGGGTCAGGAGCCTGACAGCTCTATTTCAGAATTGTCAAGCGACCATAATTACTTCAAAAGCGCATCCTTGCATCACCTAGTCATTTCCATGCCATCATGGAAGTCTTGTGTCAGCGAAGTGAATCTCTATATTTTGTCTTGCAAGGCTTTTTGCCGTCTGACAGGCAGCCTGTGACCCTCTTTGCCCCCCCGGTAATCTTAGTAATTCCATATACGTTCCCCCGCCTCGTATTTCCATGCAGGAAATGTTATATCAGAGTTTAATGCACTCAGTTGTCATGACTGTCTGTCTGCGAGAGGCCACAAGCTCTCCGCCGCCTTCCGGACATTTGATAGTTAACGTCTCATTCAGTGAGATGTATGTTTTCCAGCTTGGTTTGATAACAGCGTCTAGACATTGTCCTATAAACAGATAACAAATATTGTAAATATATGTCCTTTAACATCATGTAGAAAGCAAAGTGCTTACACATTACAAAAGAGTGAAAACACTTTTGCAGGGGAGCTCTGTTGTCAAAAAAGGTTGTGAAAATGTTAGATTTTGTTGACTTGTGTTCTCACATGTTTTCAACAACGTTCCAATAAAGAGAAATCCCCAATTTTATTTATGGTAATAGAACATACTGGGCCAAACCAAGTGTAACTAACGCTGTGTGTTTTTTCCTTCCACTGTTTGTATTGGTCACTGGTAATGAATCAAAATTTATCATTGCTGTTGCTGCGAAACCTGAATACAATTTTAATACATTATCACCTAGATTTTCATCTGCAATGGTGTTGAAGACAACAGCCCAAGAGCAATTCAAAATTTGAAGACGTGAGGAAATTCGAGATGTGTATATATACATACACATACATACTAAAATAAAAACATGCACATGCACCCATGAAACCTTTGGAAAATGAGGATGATTGTTAAAATGTAAAAGGCCTTCGTACAGTCAACACATTTGTTTTTAAAAGCATTAGTAGTATTTATAATGAAATATTACTTTCTACAGTATGGGGCTGATATGCAGAGCCATAAAGGTCAGTTTATTTATATACGTTCCCCCGCCTCGTATTTCCATGCAGGAAATTTTATACCAGAGTTTAATGCACTCAGTTGTCATGACTGTCTGTCTGTGAGATGCCACAAGCTCTCCTCCACCTTCGGGACATTTGATAGTTAATGTCTCATTCAGTGAGATGTATGTTTTCCAGCTTGGTTTGATAACAGCGTCTAGACATTGTCCTATAAACAGATAACAAATATTGTAAATATATGTCCTTTAACATCATGTAGAAAGCAAAGTGCTGCCACACTCCCCTCATCCCACTGAGACAGAGCAAAAAAACAATTATCAAAATGAAATCTTGTTTATATGCACAGCGTGGAAGATTCAGCAGGATGGCGTATCTGTGTTGTGGCAGTCGCGACCCCTGTGTACTTTCCTGCAGCCCCTCATCAACTTATTCAAACTGTCCCCAGAAGACCAGGTGAGAAGTGCGGAGCCCGCTGCATCTTGATAATGGAGCAGGTCTGAAGCTATTAGCACACTAACAGCTTCACACAAGTTGGAGGGGGGTGCTCTCCGAGGGAGGATGACGGGAGACAGAGAGGCCGAGAGACTGAAAAGCAGGGGGACGTGACCCCCCACTAAACTGACACAATTCGCAGCATGACTGCCGGTGGTGCCAGGGCCCCCTGTCGCCTCTTGAAGGACTCCCTGCCCTCGAACTGGAGGTGAAGGGGCAACATACGTCTGCATTTTTCAGTGACAACAGTGCAGTCTGCTTTAATCAGCTGCATCCAAGAGGCTGTTACTTGCATTTGCAGGACCATGCACGCTACGTTTGAAAGCAGACATCACACAGGGAGATTGACACATGTGTGTTGTATGTGTTCTTAATGGGTTAGGTTTGATTATTTACCCTCATATTCAATTAAATACATCTTTTTGCAACCATTATGCATTTGATGCCAAAAATGAAATGAAAAAACAAATGCAGCTTTTGAGGCCAAATTCCTGGTACATGAAAACCCAGACAATAGTGCAGGAGACGTTTTGAATGACACTGGAGAAAATGCTGCATCACTTTAAATCTCCAAGTCGGATAAGATGATAGCAGCTTCTCAGTGGGGACAATGTATTTGGAGAGAGGAATATGATTCAAGATGTTTATTTGTCAAACTGCTTACACATTACAATTGATTGAAAACACTTTTGCAGGGGAGCTCTGTTGTCAAAAAGGGTTGTGAAAATGTTAGATTTTGTTGACTTGTGTTCTCACATGATTTCAACAATGTTCCAATAAAGAGAAATCCCCAATTTGTATTTATGGTAATAGAACATACTGGGCCAAACAAAGTGTAACTAACGCTGTGTGTTTTTTCCTTCCACTGCTTGTATTGGTCACTGGTAATGAATCAAAATTAATCATTGCTGTTGCTGCGAAACCTGAATACAATTTTAATACATTATCACCTAGATTTTCATCTGCAATGGTGTTGAAGACAACAGCCCCCATGATTCCATGTTGTTCCGCTCCTGATGATCTGCATCTCAAAATTTGAAGACGTGAGGAAATTCGACATGTGTATATATACATACATACTAAAATGCACATGCACCCATGAAACCTTCAGATAATGAGGGTGATGGTTAAAATGTAAAAGGCCTTCGTACAGTCAACACATTTGTTGATAAAAGCATTCCTAGTATTTATAATGAAATATTACTTTCTACAGTATGGGGCTGATATGCAAAGCCATAAAGGTCAGTTTATTTATATACGTTCCCCCGCCTCGTATTTCCATGCAGGAAATGTTATACCAGAGTTTAATGCACTCAGTTGTCATGACTGTCTGTCTGTGAGATGCCACAAGCTCTCAACCGCCTTCCGGACATTTGATAGTTAATGTCTCATTCAGTGAGATGTATGTTTTCCAGCTTGGTTTGATAACAGCGTCTAGACATTGTCCTATAAACAGATAACAAATATTGTAAATATATRTCCTTTAACATCATGTAGAAAGCAAAGTGCTGCCACACTCCCCTCATCCCACTGAGACAGAGCAAAAAAACAATTATCAAAATGAAATCTCTGCAAAGCCATGAAAGTGAAGCCCACTAACTGTGTTTGAGCAGCTTCAGGCAGAAAGGAACCTTTTCAGTGAAAATGCTTTAACTTTATTTTTGCTCTGCTTCTGATGACCTCCAGGGGCAGATACAAATTTGAATGTGCAGCATCTCCTCCTGTAGACACTCACTTTCCTCTGTGTATTTACCTTTATATATATATGACCCTGGTAAAATATTATACTGAAACTCCATTGTAAAAAATAAAAACCTCTCCAGAGTATGAGAAAATGCACAAGTGAACAGAAATGTTGGGTGTGTTCCAGCAGTCGAATCGGTGTTAGGAAGTGTGCCACAGCTCGTAACCTCATTCTTTGACTGAAACAGCTGGGTGTAGCTTTTGATTGGCCACATTTCTCTTGATCCTGCGAGACCCTGCTGACAGAAATCACCATAGCGGAGCTCAAAGGCGGCTAACCTCTGAGACTGCAACACAGTTAGCTAGTTCTTAATGTACCAGGCTAACTCCCAGTCACATCTCATGTCTTCTTTTGCCTTCAATGCCTTTAGGATGAAAAAGACCAGGGCGATATTGACAGGGGAGGCGATTGTAGCATAATATTCAAAGGCAACCATCAAAGACCTGGTTTTTATTCTTTGAGACAAAAAAGAGAAAGAATATGAACTTAATTTGCTGCATCCATTGTTTTCCGATTGTGATCTAAAACCACTGTCATCCCTCAGCCATTGATGACAGATAATGAAAACAGCATTAGACTCATCTATGACTACATTTTGTGATATGACAGACATGTTGTGTGGCATTTTCATTTTTTCGTAACTTTATGAAATTAATTGTGGTAAAGAAATGTGAGGGTTATGCTGTACAATGATGACCTTGACAGATGAAATCAAGGTAGAGCACATTGTTAGTGTGTACTCATGTGCTGATATTATTATATAATGAAAATGGGTGGATGCTTAGCCTACTACTATGCTTCTTGAAAAATGTTAATTGCCTTGCAGTTCCAGTGTCGATGTAACCAAACCCAACTAAAACCTGAATATTGTTTCAAAATATTTGTCAGCACCCCGTCTTGTTGGGCTTGAGTTGGTATCAACACTATCTCACATAATGAATAATTATTTGATAAATTGCTAAAAAAAAAAACAGTTCAAAGTAATCTTTTTCCAAACCACCTCGAGCGCTCAAGTAGCTTTTAGGAATCTTCCTCACCTCAACCTGAAAATTCAGCCGCCTGGTGGCATAACTTACTGGTGAAAGCATGCTCACCCTTTAGGAGCAGTGTTTTGTTTTATAACTCAGCATGTTGATCAGATTAAAAGCTTAAAATGATGACACATGCTGGGCGTTAATACGAGCACACTAAGAGCCCCATACATGAGTCATTTATACATTTTACACAGGACATTTCTGGACAGTCGCTAAGCTTCCGTCAGAGACCTTATTTCCAATTGTTGCCACATTCCCATATTCTCTCCCTCTCTTTCATTCTGACTGCTCCAGTTATCCATGAATAATTAATAATCCAACAAGATCTTGGGCCTTAAGAGTTTGAGTGCTGTGTATCTGTCTCATAATGATTAGTGAGCGGGTCACACTGCTCAAGCCCTTTGGTCACCAGCATCCGCCCTTAATCCCCCTTAATCCCCAAAACAATGGGCTCCTCCATGCAGGGGACTGTGACAGATTTTTATCATCCGGCTCAGAGGGATCAGTGTGCGCCTTCACACTGCCAACACAACAATGATAGCACTTTCAAACCGCCTGCCATCACAAGTGCCAAGTTCAGCCTCACACATGACACAAACCATAAAAAGGGTGTAGGTAATGAGGTGTGTTATTGGGATATTGCTCTCTCCCGTCAGTGTTGAGTTTCAGGGTTAACATGTTTACCCCATCCAACCTTTACATTGGCAGCTACCTTACAGCTTCATGTTTCATATGGAAGGATCAAGGCTGGCTTGTTGTCTCTACAGCCAGACGGGCTGGCTTTGGTCTTGGCTTTGGATTATGAAAAAGGAGCCCCGGTGATTCAGACACAGGGAGAAAACCAGAAATGTAACCCAGCAGGTATATCACACAAATGTAGCCACAGATATACAAAATACAATACAAAAATAAGTGCAGCATGAGGGTGACGACAGAAACAAGCACTTGTCAGGGTCATGAGGGGCAATCAGCCAAATACATCATCCCAAAGAGCAAAACTGTTTTGGTCAGTGCTAGATAACAACAAAATGCATCCCTCAAAACATTTCTGTCACTAGAAGAATATTTTTGTGTGATGAATTTTATGATATCAATATAAAGTCAATATATCCAATGTATACAGTCAATGCAAGATTTAACATCATCATCCTTATCATTTATTTGGAAAATTGTGTCATGTTTGATTTGAATAGTTCGCTCTTTTAAAATAGACGACCTCTGCTGTGTGGTTCCCTATGTTACCAGTAAAAACAGCATTTTTATGATAAAATGACTTTGTTCTAAAGAAAATACCCATAATAGCATTTCCAGTTGTTTTAGTAAAGTGCTATACCCACAGTCAAACAATGTGAATCTGAATGATATGAAAAGTCTCTATGTCCTATTTGTAGTTCTTATTTAGGATTTGACTTGAATCCAGGAGGAAGACAACGCCTCTGCTGCACAGTCATCCATGTCACAGTTAAAATGAACAACATCAGTGGTAACTAAATTATAAAAAATGATTATACAAGTGTGTTTCTTCTTAACCTCAACCCACAGGAGTGTTTCCTGAATTACTGCCGAATCTATGGCAGGAGATGCAAAACTATGAAAAATACAGTTTTTATGATGTGACAATGCCTCAGTAAAGTTTTAGTTTGGATTAGCCCCAAAAGGTTTAAAGAAATTTAAAGATTTAAAAGTATATGATGTCTTCTGCATGGTTAAGGTCACAGGACGATGATGGTCATGGTTGAAATGAACAAATCAACCATGTCTCCTGTGTTCAAGTCCTGTATCATTGTTATGGCAACCAATCTATCCACTAATTCCTCCCTACGTGGAGTCTTAGCCCGGGTGAAGCAGAAACAGACAAAGTGTGTGTTTTCAAAGTTAACTGGCTTATTGGAGACATATTTAAAGCAAACGGTGTTATACATGACTAAATTGGACACGGTGCAGTATTTTGGGATCAGATAAGTCTTCAAATTACTAAAAGCTATCTTTCTGGACTTTATTTCAATGTCTCACACTTTTGTGTTCAACTAGATACAAATTAAACCTGTGCACAAAACATTCATGTCCAGCATTCACAGTTATTATGCTTCATGACATGATTCCCTAAAGCTGGAGGTTCTCAAACGCGCCAGCGGATGCATTCATGCAGATTTAAGAAAGTCATTACGATTACTTCCCACATGCCTAAATTATACAGCACCTTTTGCCAGGCCTTTGACCCACCTGAAGACATCCTGTGAATACGCTAACACAGTATTTCACATTCAGCGCAGCTTCCGGCCTTGAGCGTTACAATCTTTCCCACCAGCCATATCGCTGAAAATGGTCCATCACACACGCACCCTCCCCAAAAAAAGATCACCCATTATACGTCTGTATCTGAAAGTGCGCATGCATACCCACGCACACACAAAGATGTGAATGCATTCGAGAGGAAATAGCAGCATCGAGTTGTAAAATAGCAACCATTATTACTTGGCATTTGGCAGTGACATCAATCAGAGCCAGCCATTCTAAGCTTTGTGATGGTACATAAGTGCTCAGCCTGAGAGCTGATTTAATAGAGCATGGTCTGATAAAGTCCCAGCAGAGATCACTTCATGGCCAATAGGTTGCGCAAGCGGCTAATTGGTCAAAAAATAAAACCTCTCCCAGGAGTTGGACCAATGTTATCACGGTGAGTCTGGCACACTATTAATGAGTTGCATCGGCTCCCTTCAGCCCCCTAACTACATTTCTGCTCGGGCTGTGCATGGGGACTTGTACTTGGGCATAATTATAGTGATGATGACCAAATGTTTACCTTATAAGCAGAGCACGTACACAGGAGGATTGCAGCCGACGCGGTACAGTTGTAATAACGGCAAGAGTAACGAGGCAGCCACCTACGCTCGATTATTTCACCAGCACCTTTATCGATCCACGTTCACCTATACCTACAGAGATAATAAGAAAATATAGAGGGGATTTTCTCATCCCGTTGTTTTTGGTCTATAGAGTAGCCAATACTTAGTGTCATATTAAGTTTTTTTTCTTTCATATTTGGTACAGATCTTTTTTCATGGATGTGTGTGTATATATATATATATATATATATATATATATATATATGTATATGTTATTATTTGAAATATTTCAAGTTTTGGATGTTTTTTCTTCTTCACTATACTCAATTTGACATACCCCTTGTGTTGAACATTTGCGAAGATTTGTCTTTTGAAGGAAAATAATAAAGTACTAATCCTGATAAAAATGCTCTCACAACGAGCATATTGTGGCAACGACGCAGAGATAACCCTAAAAATACTACCACTGAGAGGCTGGAGGAGCCCGACTTCATGCCAGCAACCAGTTTAGACACTGATAAAACAGCAGTGGTAAAAAGGAAGCAGGCAGGTTCTCCTCTTTATCACTCTCTGAGGCCAGGTATCTGCTCTCAAAACTAGGCTATTAATTTGCACAGCCACGCAGCTCACATGCACACTGGCTGTTAACCAGGAATCCTCGGAGGGTAACTTACAGTCCTACCTCAGCAAGCCACTGGATCGGAATTTCATCGCAAGTTGAGATGTAGCTTATCTATGTCTCATTCCTTCATATTTTTCCCTCACTCTCCTCGTCTCTTCTAACCAGCTGATGTTTACGGGGATTCGATCAGTTTTGGCCTTCATCTCAATCGGCCAATCACATCGTTGGTGTCAAACTTTAAAATCACTCTCCTCTCTGTCGTTTCAGTGATTCACCGCGACCCTCCTCCTCTCGTCACCTCCAGTCTCCATATGCAGTGTCATGGTCGAGTCCACACATCTCATCAAATCCTCATCGTTCTCTATATCGCATCAACCGCCACCAGCGTCGAGACTCCGGTGGGTTTCCTACACTATGCAGCCATGCACTTCTTTAACCTTGATAACATCACGAGGGGTCAAAGTGCCAAATAGCTCATTTATATCACTTTTATTTCTTATGTACACGACAACAAATATTGTTCATTTTTTAACTAGTCTCTCCTGATTGAAATTCAATAATTACACAACAGCTACCAAACCCAGTATCTCTCCATTAACTCTGCATTTTGCTGGTAGATTTTATGTCTTCCCGGTAGTTTGATGAATTGTATTTTAACCATTATTTGTGTTTTTGGAAGGCACAAATGTTATCGTCCTCCTCTCAGTGGAGTAAGATCAGATCAGGGACTGCACAAACTGATTAGTTTAAAAGATGTATTTTAAAATTTTAAAATACACAATTTGTGTGTCCTTTGTGTGTACTGGGTATACTCTGTCTGTATGAGGACAGTATGGATTGCAATCAATATTTGTTTCATAAAATATTGCCACTAGGAACTGTGTGGGCAGTGTGATCTCACCTTTGAGTTGAAAAAAAAACTCATAACTCTGACTTCGACCAGATTCACACCGCCCTAGTGCTTCAACAATAAATCTGAGGATATTACTTTTGGCCTGGAGGATACTGTATTTGAAAATGGGTGGACTGAGAAATATTGTGTATTCATCTGTATATATCCTCTCATTCCACCAGCCGTAGAACATAATACAATATATTTCCATATTTCCTTTTTTGGATATGACAGAGAATCTGTCAATGCCAGGTCCCCTGATCAGCAGCGGCAGTGAATGTCTGACATTTCACCAGAAGTATCATCCTTATCTGGCTCGCCCCTCTCCCTCCTCTCTCTTTTTACGTCTCCATCCTCAGCTCCTCCTCTTCTGTCGGCTCGTCCCGTCTTCCCTCTCTCCGTGCCCACCGTGGCGTGACAGGTGACTGACGATGCTAACAATAGTGGGTGCGGCCGCCCCTGCTCAGCGGAGCACGGGCTGCATGATAAATTACCCTCATCAGATTGTTTTGCCAGCAGCCCACACAGGTCACCACCAAGGCCGGTCGTGACATTTTGTTGCGTACTGTATATGCAAATACCTGCCAATCATTTAGCACGCCGCTCCCCCTCCACTTTCCATTGTGATTAAAATAAATTGATTGCGGGCTAAAATCAACACCGCCAGTCTGCCAGGAGACCAGGGGTCAATAGGACGCCACAGAGGAAGCGGGGCAAGGAGGGGAGGGGTACAACTTGAAGAAATATTGTTTCTTCACTCCTCCTTCATTTCCCTTCACATGGTTCTTTATCACCACCTCATAACTGGAGGAATAAAACAGTGAAATTTGCTGAAAATGAGAAAACTGCAGTGTAAACAGACTGAGTAATAAATTTGCGGCGCTGCTGTCAGGGCTCTCTGAAGATCAAGTTGATATGTGATGGAAAAGCAATGGTGGCAGTAATATTTTTGAGCAGCCTGAAGCCTATGGGTTATCTAAGCAGGTGCGCGTGTGTGTGCGTGTGTGTGTGTGTGTGTGTGTGTGTATGTGTGTGTGTGTGTGTGTGCGCTCTGACACAACATGAATTGCAACTAGAGAGGAGGGCTCACATGCTCAGGGTTGTTAGTAAGCAAAGGCATGACTATTGGACAAAGAGCAAGCGCTTGCAAGAGTCACAAGGAAGAAAAAAAATAAATACAACCAGCGTTTGATTTAGTATCAAGGGCTTAACAGGCGGGGTAAACAACTCGCTGATGGTTTACGGAGAGACTGATTAAAGGAAGCACTTATCATTCAAAACCATGCCTGCTTACATAAACAATGTTTGCACAGGAAAAATCGAGAGCGAGGTAATGGAGGGTGCAATCCTAAAATGACAGCTCTCTTTAAAGCTGCTATTTTATGGGTATTTAGAGCGATTTCCACATTTTCCCTCATTTTCATACAGCTTGTGATTAAAAAAAACACGAGTTTCAAAGAAATGATGCGCTCGGCTCTTTCTTATGCTTTTATAGATACTGAACTTTGTACTCACATTTGTACCATCTCTGTCAAAATGAACCCATCAAATCTAAACTTGTACTAGTGACCTGGTCAGCTGTCACCATCTCACACACTTACCAACATCTTGATATTGGTGTTGCACAATAGGCCTTGTTGGCCATTAGGCTTCCTGACAGTATGCGGCAGATAGTTAAATAAATCCTATGCTTGCGTTTCTGAGCTACTCAGTAAAGACAAAGCTCCAGTTTTGGAGCTCAGCGTTAGGGGAGAAAAGGTCTGGAAGTTGTATTTATTCAAATTCTCATATGTTCTTTCTCTCTCTATTTTTGTCATCCTGTACCCGCCACAACAGATTTTTGACATATTCAGGTCTGTGAGAATATAACTTCGACATTCACCCTCCTTTTACCCATTTTTTGGCCTCCACCCCCTTCTGAGATAAAATCGGGCTCTTAAGTTGTTGCCACCTTTTCCACCAGCTACTCGCTAACTCTGTCTGTCTGCTGTTAGGTGGTGAGCAAATTGAACAGTAGGTGTTTATCATATTTTAGCGTCAAAGGCCTTAAAACCAAAACATGGAGCTGAAACAGGCTAAAATGATCTGGTAATACAGTAAATCTCTGTAAATATACACAGACTTTATAATAATAATAACAACATATTTTAGTTTCATGACCTGCTTGCATTTATATGTAAAATATAAACATAACATAGATGCCAAAGCATCACTAGAACACACATTTGGCTCAGAGCTATGCTGAAGCCGTCTCTTCTCCAGCCTCCCCTGCACATCTTGGCTTCCCTGTGATCTTCATTGACAACTCCAGCAGCAGTGCATTATACAGGTCAGGCACAGCAACCTTCTGTATCACTGCAACTTCTAACAGGCAACTATAACACCAGGAGGGCTGAGCGAAAAAATCTGCACTTGTTTTTTTCACTTTTTATCTTCATATAACTGCAACGCGATCATGAGGCTCATTAGTTTTCACTATTAATTTAGCAGAAGCTTAGGTGCAGCCATTAGTGATTGGACCAGTGTGTACAGTGACGGCAGTTTGCTTTATTTTCTTGATTTGACTGCAGATAATCCTCATCCCCAATTTATTCCCTCATTTACTGAAAAGCATAAGTATAAACACTGCTCATCGTTGCTTTTGAATGCGCCAGCGCTTGGTTTGGATTTGGGTATACCCACGACATTGTAGGTCACCACAGTTTCCATACATGCCATATTTGACTGCTGATAATCCTCTACTCCTATTAACCTGAAAGGTTTATATGTTAATCCAGGTATTTATGCACCGTTTTTAGGATTTATGAAGCGTAGTCGCTCAAGTGGGGATTGTGGTTTATTGGGGAATGTTTAATGAAAGAGGTCCCTCATTTAAATGATCAGTTCGATCTCCTTAAGGGACAAACACGTCTTTTTATTGTTGTTCTCAACCATTTTCTCCTTCATGTATTATTTTAATTGTATAACTCTATCACAGTTATGGCTGTTGTTGCCTTTGTTTTGGATTTAATAATAGTATTTATTGCTACCCCTGTCATCTCAACCATCTGCTGTGGAGATTTAAATGCCATTAACATTAACAGATCTCCAGCCACAGTAAATATCTGAACATTTGCTCGCAGCGCTGCACTCGGTCGGCCCTGCCTTTTGAGATTCTCTTGTGCCCCAAAAAAACTTAAAGGTCCAGTGTGTAACATTTAGGTGAAAGGGAATTGGCAGAAATTTAATGTAGAATAATCCTCATGATGTTTTCACGAGTTCGATTCATCTAAATTGTATGAATTGTAGTTTTCTTTACCCCAGAAAAGGCCCTTTATATTTAAATACTTTATATTTACACTGAGGGGACCCTCTCTACGGAGGCAGCCATGTTCTTTACATTAGTCCAGACTGGACCAACTAAACACCTTTTGAGTTTTTATGATAATTAAATGCTAACACATGTTTTCTATCATGTTTGGAAGGAGAGGGTGAGGTGAGAGGTGTTCAGCTGCAACATGCAATTTCAACACTAGATATCACTAAATTCTACACACTGTACCTTTAACTGTAGCGCTTAAAAGTTCAGGCAAGGGTTTAGTTGCAGTGAAATAAAAAAAGGAAAAATAGAAGACATAAAAGTTGAAATGGGAATTAAATGAGAAGAAAATATTTATCATCTGTGATACTTCCCTTTTTAATCCAACCTCCACATGAATCCTTCCTGTGTTGAAATGATTCTTTTACAAACTTTATTTTCACACATTCTCTGATATGTAATGAGATTCTCAAGCAGCCAAAATTCAGTCTCGTGGAGGTACAAGGTATAATTCTCTGCTGCAACCTGAACTAGGAAACAAATCTCTTACCAAATAGTCTAGTCACATTATCTAACTTCTATATGTATATTTTACTGACTTTCTTGTTATTTTCTCATTAATATCTATCTACTAATTCCAGAAATCTCTGTCTGTATGTAGAACACATACTGTATCTCAAGAACATGCTAATAGTCAGTCTAAGGATCCAGCTGAACATGTTGTTTTACATGTGCTTAGACAACCTAAAGCAGTGTTTGTGTCAAAATTACAGCCAGATCCTTTTGAAGATTTGATTGTTTGAGGAGGACTCACTAATGACAAGGAGTAATTCTGAAGGAGCTCCAGAGCATTAACACAGGACAGGAAAACAGCCCATTCCAAACAGGCCGGTTTAGATCGGGGCCCTGTTCTAGTATCAATTAAATTTGATCGTTGACAGATTGGTTTTGAAACTATAGAGAAAACTTGCACCAGTGTGGATGTGCAGTCTGGGCTCCTGGTACACCACATCTGTGGATTCTACTTAACTCAATGAAGGATGAGGGTTTACGTCATGAAATGATGCAGGAAGTGAAGGAAGAGCAGGAGCTCACGGTATGACAGAGCAGTTCTTGCCCCACACATGAAGGGCCAGTGAGAGTGAGCCAGTGAGAGTGAGCCAGAAACCACTTTCCATTTCATTTCTGAAAACTTGCCTCCATGTGTG